AAAGAAACTTCTAATTAGATTTTGCCAGGTGTCAAATAATTTTATTTTAAATAAAATTTACATATTTGTATTTATCAACTAGATATTTTGACTTAAAAAAAAAGACAACAAATCAGTTACCTTTCCTCAATAGAATGTTATAATATAGTCTAAAAATCTTTTGAGTTTGAATAGAATTAGGTTTACATACCAAAATCTTCAAAAATTATAATATTTCACAACACTTTTGTGTTTTCTCCATATTCTCACAAAATAATTTAAAACTTCAATAATCTCTTCAATAAAAAATGTTTCGACTTTTTTATCAGGAAAAAACGATTTCTATATTTTTGTTAATAAAATATTATTATTTACAATATAGATATTATCACTGATACGAGGTGATATAATTTATTTTTCTTTTTTTACGGATAATAAAATATTGATTTAGTAAAGTTATCTTATTTTGCAAAGTTTGATCTGTCCATGTTATATTAATCTTAGCAGGATATGTTTGAGTCAACTGATCAGATATATACAAGTGTAGAAGAATTCTTTCAATTAAATTTAGGCACATGTCAAAAGATTTATCTATCTACAAATAATAATATATATATTTGTAAAATAGTAAAAAATAAACTTAATTTAGATATGATTAGAAAACTCTAATTATTTAGAAAATAAGTGATGTAATTTAATTGAAAATCAATTAATATCAAAATATAATAGATAAATATTTGATATATTTATCTATAAGTGGTTTTGTATTAACATTTTCAATCATATTTTTATTATTTCATGGCGAGATTTATTTTTTTGTCAAATTTTCATGGAAAAATCTAATTTTGCTTTTTTTTTTTTTGGCGAGTTAATAAATTTTGCTTCCTCAATCGGTTGTTTTGCGTAAATATTTTTATTTTTACTTTATTTTCATTAACGAATGATCTAATTTTGTTTAATAATATATTTTTTTCCACAAGTATATTAAATTTGAAGTTACAAACCCGCCATTTAGTAATTAAAACTAAAACTCGACCCTTTCCTCAACAAAATATCCTCCTCAAGCCGCAGATCTAACCCTAAATTGCTCTTGTCCGATTCTCCACTTTTCCTCCATCTCCGTGGACACCATGAATATCGAGGAACAAATCAAATTATCCCGTAAGAATTATTCTATCCTTTGCTCGAAATTCTGCATTAGATTTCATTTTAGTCTCATCGATCGGATCAGTCTTATCAATTTGGTAATTGTTTATGTTTTGTGAAAAGCTGATAAAGTCTATGCATCTCTACAGATGCTAAAACATACGTCTTCTGGGACATCGTAGATTTCCCCCTTCATGGGGAGGCTGAGGTCGATTCGTTTAATCGTAGTGTCAAATCATCTCTCGAAGAGGAGGGTTATTACGGTGAAATCTCTATCGCAGCTTATGGTCATACATGATATTCCAAAGATGATGGAGTATGTACATCCCGAAATCCATCTACAACGACGAAGTGAGTTCTTTAAACACACACTCTTTTGTTTTCTCTGTCTTAGTACTTGTCTCTCTATGTCTGTAATCTTTATCTCTGTTTGTATTTTACAGCCAGTAGATTTGCGAGACTTAACAACCTATTAGTGGACATGGTTGATTATACTCGCATGAACCCTCTAGCAAATCTCATGTTGATCATGAAATACACGCCTGAGGATGAAGACATAGAGCTTGTCAGGATTGTAAACGAGGTGAAAAAAAGAAATTACAATGTTTTTTTAGTAGTTGGTGATAATCAAGATCGAGACAATTGCGGATACCCATCAGATGTACTACCTGGTTGCACCATATGGACTTGGACAAGCCTAGTAAGTGGAGGACCCTCTTGCACAAGTGATGAAGAGGATGATGAAGAGGATGATGGAGAGGATGTCACAATGTTCTTTTAGGCTTTGGGTTTTGTGTATGAGTCACAATTAACTTTTCATCTCCATTCTCTAAAACTAGTCTTGAGGCTCAAATCATTTGCAGTCATGTGCAATCTCGAATGCTTAATGAACCTAGTTTTTTATGGTATTGTCTTCATCAAACCTTCAACTATCTCTTTGTGCATATACACATTTATCCGTAAATCTTTGTTGTCAAATTCAAGTAACCAATATGATACGGAGGGAGTATTTAATTTACTATTTTTCAACATAAAACCACCAATTCCAATACAATTTAACCAATAGAAAACTAATCTTGAGACAAAAAAATATATCTAAAAAATAATTTAATATGATACGGAGGGAGTACTATAAATAGTCAGATAAAATATCCACACGCAACAAAATATCCGCGGCATTAAAGAAATTCTCTATGCAAAATATCCGCGGCATTAAAGAATCGGGATTTAGCAAAAGACGAAAGATCCGACGGCTAG